TGGTATCGCAGAGGTCACGGGTTCGAATCCTGTTGAAGCCCTGATTTTTTTCAGGCTTCTTCTTTCCAATTGCTTAAATTGGAAAATTTACTGCCATGGTCATTCTTCATTTTCAGTGTTTGTTATGTTAATGTACATTCACAAGTGTTAATTATATCTGTGTCTGTGTTCAATGTTTTACCCTACAGCACCTGGACTATTTTCCTCCACTGACATGTTAGACTTTGGAACACTTAGAACAATGGGTGAGCTTACATAATTTTTGTGACCACTTTTTTCTCCACCAACCCTAATTTAGGACTTTTTCTTTGGTAATACTCCCCCCCAACTCCAAAAAATGTGATTAATAGTAATCTAATAAAATTATAATAATAATAACAACAACAGCAATAATAATAGTAATAATAATAATGATAAATTAAAAATGTACAATAAAGAGATATATGTCGTTCTTCAATATGGGCAATGATGATGAGCGTTCTTGACTGGTCCTTGCTGACAGAAGATCACACTGCATGACAACTGATCAGGGACACTAGACTATTCACTGTAATGCTCCAGGCAATGTAGATGAAGGCAGGTAAACATTGCAGTGTTACGTCTGGCAATTTGTGTCGTTATTTACTGTCTCATACATCTCTTTTCCAGATGAACCCAAAAGTATTGGATTATATCTTCTAAATGCTGGTCACAAGCAAGTTCATATTTCGGTAATAACTTCAGTCATGTCTTTTGTACTTTTTTCACATTTTCTAAGTAGAGTAGACTATGTGTATTGAACAAATAATGCCACCAGAATGAAGATACCGATGATCAAATCGAGGATGTTTCTTTGGGGAGTGATTGTGCTCCACAGCATCTTCAGACTTTTCAACAAATTTATATGTAAATGTTTTTGCAGACTTTGGGAGGGATTTCTAAACAATTTTATGGATAACATAAAATGCCAAGTTTGAACTCTGTGCTGCTTAGTTGTGGTCTTCAATTTGATCAGCAATACATTTATCTTTTGTTTGCCAGGTAAACTACTTTAATTTATATTTAGTAACTGTGTACCAGAGCTGTTATGTAGGAGTTTTATACATTGCCCCCACTGGATGTTGGTGGTGAACTACGATTGTTTATACAATACAGTCAACATTTGGATCAACATACATTTTGGGCTTCATTGCTGGTCAAGGCAAAAATGTCTCGAATCTCACACATTAACGCTCTTTCCTTTCATATTTATCTTTACCCAAAGTCCAACTTATGTTTTGTAATCAAGTGCTGTACATCACATAAAGACAGATCAATTCAATTCAATTCAATTCAGTTCTTTAATTTACGCTAAATAGGGTGAAGTAAATGAAAATCGTAAAAAGTTAAGAAATATGGAGCGGTAAGGAAATACAATTTATATGTGAGCAGTGGCCACAGTAGCAAGGGCTTGCTGGTTGGCCACTATCATGGTCTTAACAATTAAGATCTTAATAATTAGTTCTGTCTTGGATACACGTGTACAAGTGCTATACAACCTTTTCTGAAATATATTATTGATTTGTGTGTGTCATTTTGTAGGCAATAACTGTGGAACCACCAAACAGTGCATTGTCCATTAGTTTCACTGTAAGTAGAAATTCTTAGTTGCCTTTAATTTGACATTGTAATCCCTATTAATGGTTATGATTCATTGTGTTTGTGCATACAAGGGGAAAGATCCTGAAGAGGTGGTGCAGAAAAAGGGCAATGCCTTGCAATGAACGTTTTTCATCCCTGTTAAAACAACCTTGTGAGGGAACAATTTCCATAAACAAACACAACTGTCTTCTTATGTAACCTGTCTGTGCAATGTGCCTTGAGAACAGGAAAAGGAACTGATCACAGAGCAGGGATTTTAGGGAAGTGGAAGAATGTTCTAGTTTAGTTGAAAGGTTTACCTGGAAGTACAGAGGAACCCTGCCTAACAGCCACCTCATTATTGCAGCCACTTTATTCTGGTCCCAAGAAAAGCTTGGTCAGTTGTTTTCTTCGTTTTCTGGCCTGCTAGTGACCAGATTAACAGGGTTCCGCTGTAATTTGTTGTGTGGGATCTAAAACTTGAATGTACTATTTAGTAATGTGCATTCAGAGTGATGATTAATTCAATCATTGTTTCGTTCTTTTCATACTCAGCCCACTCTATTAAAGCCAGGATCAAAATACATCAAAATAGCAACTGCTACATATTCTGGTTAGAATAAATAAATAGCTTAAAGTGCCTATAACCTCCCAAATATATTTTTGGCGAGATTAAACCGTTGTATTATATCGAGCAAATCACTGCAAAATTTTTTCTTTTTGGTTAAACCCATGACTGATGTCCTGGAATGATCCTTTTGACCAGTTCTTTGACTCAGTAATAGTTCCTATTTATAATTACAGTCCTGTGATTATTCACAATTGTGAAAAGTATTATTGATAAAAATTCATGGTTTCAACTGAAAGCAAAAATTATTTCAACCTCTCGAACATTATCAGAAAAATGGCTGAATCAGTATCTTTTGGGCATTTGTGGGGTTTTAGGTAGTTTCACATTAGTCATTGAGTGGGCAGTACATTTTTTTCATCGGTGAAAATTGATTTTACGATGCCCTTGCCTTTTCAACACCACCTGTGAAAGTGACTGTGTGAATGGCCAAGCTAACAGATCAGCTCATGTGAAGTCCAGCAGTAAATACTTGCAAAATTTGTGTAAATTATAATATCTCATGATGTGTAGGTGACATAAAAAAATGTCATCCCCCTTAAGTCCAAAATTCCATGATTTGCAACTGGTAACTGTTAGTGGTCAATTGTTGGAGGAGTTATGATACATACTTCATTATTATAAAGCTGGAATTTAGTTAAATCTAACACACTCTCCCATTGGTTGATTTATGGTCTCATGGTAATGGCCAAATCTGAATGTTGCCCAGTGGCCAACAATCAAGCAAATGCATGCCCGCTCTCCCGCTAACTATAGGTTACTTTGACCTCCTTGATTTATAACTTTGCACTAAACTCCTGAGCAGCTATTAAACAAAACACTTAATCACTGGTCCCTTGGGAAACAATTAGTTTTGTTTCTCCTCAAATCTCAAGGAATGTCAAGGCAATTTATTACTGCTTTTACTTTGTAGGAGCTTCATGTACTGATCGTCTAATTTTTTTTCCCACAGCTTTCCATGTAAAGAGAAGTAGACAAACAAGTGGAAAAGTGCAAATAAAAACAAACAGCAAAATTTCTCCAAAGCTGGAAATTCCATATCAAGTGAACATTCTGCAGGGGTGCGTCGGGAGAATTTCATGCTATTTTATTTGAGGGTAAACCTTGTGTCAAATGATGGAAGCCAGAGGTGGAAAAATGTCTGGAAGCAAATCGTCTGCCACAATAATTGTTGAACCTGTTATTAATAAACACCACCTGTATTCATACCCAATAATAATTCTTGTTTTGTCCCGTGAATTAAGTAAATGAGTGCATTAGCAATTTTATCATTTTCATTCTGAATGCTACAGTGTATAACACACAGATCCTTACAGTATGTTAACGCCTTGTTTGTTGAGCTAACTTCAAAACTATCAAGCTGTGCACAGTTCTGCTGAACCTCTAGTAAATACAGTTTTTATCTTGAAATTGGATTTCAGGACAATAGCATATTCTGTTAGCAAGACAAGATTCTTTGTAGGAAAGCCTCCATTTGTTCCTGTTTCAAGGGAACTTCCTATCACAAACACATTTGGCTTCACAATGATAATTTATGATGCTGCCTTCCCATCTGAGGTGGAAAATGTATTTTCTGTAAGTATGAAATTTCATTACAATTCTTCTTATTCTATTTTGTTGGTTGATGCAAGATTGGTTGATTGATCAGATGGTATTTGTCTTTCTGAATTAGCACTGAAGTATACCTTATTTTGTAACAGTTATTGTTTACTCTGGAAACTTTTGAGGATGGAAAATTGATGAGAAAATTTGACAGCAGAGGATGTGTTTTGATGTTACAGTAATTTTCCCACTGTAGATCCACATTAGCAATCCCAATGTTGAGGCATCCATTAATAAAATTGATTATAATACAATTAAACATTGAATGCCTCACTGGTGCCTCGATTTCAACGGCATGAAGTATCTCTGGTAACATCTCAACATTTAGTCCATTTACAAGCTGTCTGCAAATATGCAAGAACAGAATATATGTTATGACCAATTTTACCAACTTTAGGGGTACAGCTGTCCCTCCAGAACTTTTGTTTTTGTTAGTGCCCATGAGTGATGGTTGTTTTGCTTTTTTTGTTTGCAGATTGTAAATTTTACAAAGCCAGCCATGATACCGCCTCAGAGTACAGTGACGCCTTTCTTTGTTCAGTTCCTAGCCAATGGTTCAGACATGGCATTCTCAACCATTCTAAGAGTATACACAAATGCATCCATTTTTACTCTGCCTATCCACTGCTTTGATGGAAAACTTAAGGTTAGCTGTGTATGTTGCATTCAGGAATTACCTACATGTACATTGTACATTTAGACCCCAGAATGTCCTAGCAAGCCACTACAAGTCAAGGAGCCTGCCTAGCTTTTGATGTAACAAATTCAATCCAGGATGAAGGGTTTAGTCATCCTCCTGTACAGTGAATTGCACCATATCTTTAGTGGCTAGTAACTTGCACATGAAAAGTTTGTCATAACTTGATGTTAAAATTAAATGCCAATTGAAATTTTCAATTTGAAAACTTTGTTGACTGATAGTGGCTAATGCCATGCATCTCTGTTATTAGACCAAACAGTGTAACTATCAGTAAAGGGGTGACGCCCTATGATCGATTAACATTTTCTTGGTTGTTCCATTTCAGTATGTTGTGGATGGCTTGGAGGAAGATGTAGTTGACTATGGCACAGTAGGAACAGGGGAAAATAGAACAAAACTTATTAAAATCTTCAACAGTAATCCAATAGAGGTACAGCTGATAACATTACTAGAGTATATACATCCAACAATTGAAATTGTTTACATCCTCAATGTGTCTTCAATCTCAAAACAAATCCTTAACTAGTACACAGCTAAGCAACAGATGTCTTTGTATTCCACAGGTCACTATTTACAGAATTGTATGTAATCTTCAGTTTACAAAAATTAGACTATTAGAAATCAGATCTAATAATGAGAGCAAGCAATCTAGAGGGAATAACAGCCAGTCCAGTACCACTGATCAGCCACTGAACAGCCAAGCTGAAGATGGCAAGGTAAGAATTGTCCAGAATAATTTGTTCAAAGTAACTTCATTTGCCCATCAGGTAAGTTAAGGACAGAATCCACTCGTTGGACTACAAAATCCACTAGCCCAGAGTTATTGGACAAGATGTTCTCTGTGTGTTGTTTGGAATCATATTTATGAGTCCTGTGTAAGCACTAATTCTGTCTGAATTTCTGTTTAAACTGTTGATCTTTTGCTTGACTTCAGGTTTCTATCAAGCCTGGCTATGTAACATATTTTAGTGTGGAGGTCTCTGTGCCCAAGATAGAGGGACAGTACATTGGAGAAATAGAAATGGAAACAGATTATGAGGTGAGCGAAGATGTTTTATCCAGTCTATCTATGCAGAAACGGGGAAATCTATTGTTTGAGAAGCAAAGCCAGTGATTTCAATTAGCTCATGCAATTTTGTTGGATCAGGAGTGTTAGCCACAGGACTTTACCACAACCCGCTAGAATCGCTATCCATTCCTTATCAGACCACTGGCAATAAAGTACCTTGCAATTTGCAGACCTGTGCTAGCTTGAGCATTGTATTTTGAAAGGAGCAATGTCAGCATAAGCCACAGGGCTTAACTACAAGCATCTAAAATCACTATCATTGTCAGACCACTGACAATTAAGTATCTCACAATTTGCAGACCTGCACTATGGTTGATAACACTATATCCACTGGATAAATTACTATCTAGTGACTGGACTGGTTTAACAAATTAAATACAGTGAAGACTACACTATCTTCTAGACTGGGTTTGTCTAGTAAATATTACTGTCTATCCTTTGAACGTCTGGAACCTGAAATAGAGTTAAATGGGGCAACTCAAGTTTTACCTTTATTTTGCAGACTCTTCATATCCCTCTTTACTTAAAGTCAATGGATGGAAAGATAGTTTCCTCTCCGGTGTCCATAGTTTTCCAACCTGGATTTCCAGTAAGTAGTCAGCTTGTATGTTCACAAAGTTGACAAAGAAACTTAAAATTTCATGTAAGTTTCACGTTTCTTGGTTTATTACTTAACTGCAGTTCCCTGCATGTAAGTCAGGCTAACTTCCTATCATATACACTGTACTCAGTACAGTAATTATTTGACAAAGTCAATTTGTATGATACCTGCATAAGTAGTTTTGGTGTCCTGATCTAAAATTGTAATGTGATAATTTGTTGCAAGGGTACACATTCTGTGTTTAGATTGTGATTATTTTGCATCAATCTACAAATTATTGCAAAGAAACCGCATTACATATTCTAGGTCTAGTAAGCGCTACAGATGTCACAGTTTGAATGCACAAGTTTAATCATACTGGGCGTAAACACAAGAGAAACAAAAGTGATCGTGGGTGTGTGATGTGTGTGTGATTCAACTGAAAAATAAACGAGACAAAATAGTTAAGTACAAAATATAACGACACGAAAAACTGACAACGGAGCAAAATAAACTCGCAAAACTGTGGCGACTCAAATTCTAGAATTTGTACTTCAGGGCTCACACAACAGTGAAGCAGCTAAGGAAAAAATGCGGTAGAAACCAGCAGATCGAACTTTCAGCGCTAACAAGTACTGGCCAAAAATGAAAAACACAAAACTACGCATAATGAAGAATGCTTAAGTATTACAGAGTGGGTTGCATTATTCCCAGGGGTCACGGAAAAACGTGACACCCAAAAGCAAAGAAAGTTCTAGTCGCTACACATATTAATCAAATTCTGACAAAATATTTGTAGCTTGTAGGTCCAACCCATGTGGGAGAGCTCTAAAATTTGTTTCCTCAATTCCCAAATTACTTTCATGTACACTGTTTGCAAGTATCTCATATTTATATAATGCTACACACTCACTGTTTTACATTTCCTAATATTGTCCTGTTTTGTCTTTCAGGGTCAAATTGTGAATCATACCCTCACGCTCTTAAGTTCCTTCTCCAACACTCTGAAGCTTGTGTCAGTCAAACCTTACCCTTTAAATGATCAATTTTCATTTGAGCCTGTGAGTTCTGAGATGCTCTTACTACCCAATGAGAAAGTTCAGGTTTGTGCTGTTAACAGTTAAATGCGCTATTCAACCTTACTGGCGAGTAATTTTTGTTAACTTTGGTGCCAATACTCCACAACCTGCACTCTCTCTGCAGTGGTCAAGGTGTTTTGTCCCAAACCATGCATCAATTGGAATGCCCAGCTACGTAGAATGTGGTGAATTTTCCTCACTGTGGCTGAGTTAAGGGGTTAGACTGACAGTGTGGTTTTCAAGATTATCCCTTGTGGTATGAATCCACTACAGTGTGTTTCTTCATTGTGCATCTGGTTTTTAGGGTTGAGAGCTGATGCTTGTTAAATGGGTGCAAATTATTGACTTCTCTTATCAACATTGAGCATGATACTTTATGGTGATAGGAGATTTGAATAATTTGTTGCATGTGTTTTGTTTCAGTGTATTCTCACTGTAGCTTGTGTGCAGACATCTCCTTTGACATCTGCATCGTGCATCATACAGAGGACAAAGGAGACGGTGGCACACAGGCTTAATATCTCGATCCTGAAAGATCTTGGAAAGATCTTGTGTAGAATACACAAAACCACTTGTCTCCAGTTGTTGAGAATGTTAAGAGCGATGTGCACCAGTCAAGTGCAGTTTTCAATTGAGTGTCAAAGGTTATCAGGCAATTACTTTGGTTTTGGTTTGAGATTGGTGTAACAGTCTAATTGGTTTAAGTAATTGGTTTGGTTTTGGTTTTACAGCACTCAATTGAAAACCGCTCTATAGAATAATTCATGCCACTTCTTGCAACATTAAATATACACATTTTTTAAATTTTATTTTAAGGTTGGACAATTATTTTATGATCCACTGAAAGGGTGTAAAACTCAATGTTATACAGGAATACATGCAAGTAAGATATGGTTCAATATTATTTTGATCTTCTAATGCTGAGAACTGTAATTAACTAAGGAGTCAGTACCCTTTTTCCAACCCTCATACCAGTATGTAGATGCTCTTTAGGCTAGTCACTCAATTTTTTTCTCCCTTCCCTTCCTCTTTATTTGGAATAGTGTATGATGAGCCATAATCTGAACATCTGAAGGGGGCTGTGCTTTATCTTGGGACATCCACTGAATAAGCCTAGGGCTCACTATGTTTGTTAAATATCAGAAACATAAATTCAATTACCAAAGATAAAATTTTTTTGTTATGGTTGATATTTTAAGTTGGAACCCTGGCAACCAGTAACAGTATATGAAATGTTTAAGATCAGTAGAAGGAAGAGTATGTATTTTGTTGTCTTTGCAGGTGACCAGTGGCTCTCAAGTTTTTCCTTACCTTCCAATGTTGGGGAAATTGATAGTCAATTCATGGAAAAAAATCAGAAGTTTTTCTCTTCCTTAGAACGATTAGGAAAGAATAAGTAAGTCCCTGTGCAGTGAAGTTTTTATCCCCGTGTTGTAATTAGCTGACACATAATCATTTGAGTAGTAAGTTCATGTTCTTCTTTAGCTGATATTTGTCTTGTATAGCTTGTCACTTCAGTTTCCCCGTTATGATATTAATCAATCTTGAAATGTAGAAAATAATTGGCATATGACAAATACGTCTTCTGTTTTCCAGTTTATAATAATTATTATAATTCCTTATTTCCTAATGCTATTTCTTGTTTTCTCTTGCAGGTTAAATATATCTTTTATAATAGATACAGATGTTGTTAAAGGGTTCCACATCCCAGTACAAGCAAGTCTTTCATGGCCGTCATTTTCATCAGACAAACCAGTAAAATTTCCTCTAACTCACCTTGGAAATTTCTCCACCAAATTCTTCACTCTGGAAAATCCAGCAGATGTCCCTGTCATGGCTCAGATTGTGCCCTTCTCTCTGTACCCTCAGGGTGTATGGGATTTGTTAGCTGATAGGTAAGGAATTACAACTTCTACAAAGAATAGGAATTCATGGCTCAGACTGTGCCACAGGGCAGCATTGACGTGTTGTAAGAATGGCAGCATCAGACTTGAAAACCAAAGGTTGCAGATTCAAGTCTTGTTCTGGCCACTAGCTGGTGCTGCTCTTGGTCACGGTCCCGAGTTCAGCTCCTCGGCCATGCTTGTGAGTAGCCAACCGCTCTGCCTCCTGCCAGTTAGGATTTTTAACCATGTTATGTTCATTTGAATTATTTGTCTCTCTGTTTGTTTCCATTTGCCCTGAAAATCCCCTTCTTAATTTAGCTGTTTTCTTTTGGTCTCATTGTTTCTTGTTACCAACGTACAAAAGCGTACTTTTTCAAATATATGTAGCATGGCTAACAGTACACAATAATGAAATACATTGCATAAACACCTAAAATACATTGATTTTCAAGAGCAAGTTAACACTATGCTTACTGCAAATACTGAAAGGAGCAAGACTGACAACAAGAGCATTTGTGTTTAACTCTCTTTTTCACTGACGCTTGCTTGTTTCAGGTTTGATACAGAAGCTTATGGATTTGATCCAGATGATAACACTTTCTCAATTCCAGAAGAGGAGGTATGAACGACATTTTTATCGGAAATTAATACCATAAAATAAATATATCTTTTTTATGTCACCTTCATTGTTTTCTCCTCAGGATGAGTCAGCCACATTTAACAAAGATATAGCTCACGCTCCTGGCACAATGGTTACTGTCCTTAGTCCACGCTCTGTTGTCAAGATACCTGTACAATTTCAACCCAAGGATGAGCGACTCAAAACTTCTGTAATTCTCATTAGGTGGGGCTCTTTTTCTCTTCTTACTTGCCTCTGAACTCACAGTAATGCTGAGGCCTTTAACAAGGGTTGAACTGCAAATATTTGTAATCGTGTGACAAGTTCTGAATTCAAATGTTGTCGGATGGCTGTGCGACTCTCCTGAGTCTCAAGTTTGGCTTGCTACCCCTAAAGAAAAGAACGGTAGTGACAAGTTTTTGAACTAACTTGACAGACTGCTTGAGTTGGGTGGGAGGGGTTAAAGTGTGTGTTTGGGTTGGATACACCAGGAACCTCAAGCAAGTCTTCTATACCCAGTTGGCAGCAACTTTATTCTTTATACTTGCGATGCCCATAAGACAACAATAACTAGTTCTGAAAACCAGCAGATGTCCACAACTATTGTAATGTAGCTTTCTAGCTTAGTAATGTAGCTGTAATCGCTTTCTACGACTAATGTAGCTTTCTTCCTATACATACATGTACTAGTTTCCATTAGTACAACTCTCATCATTAATATTTTGGTTTTCAGAAACAATCTCACAGTCTTAGATGGAATATTAGTTCAGGGACAAGGTGCCCGAGGAGAGTTTACTCTCAATGGCAAGAGGCCTGGGACACATAGCACCCTATTATTTGAGATTAAACCAAGTCAGCTAGCAGATTGTCACAGTGAGTAACTCTTTACTGATGTTACCTGTTCTTAATCAGTAGTAACTTAATTAATCTCTTGATTTTGCTTAGAAGCAGCTCCCCGTTCGCGGTCGCTTCCATCCTTGTCAGTAATGAAGACAGTCACAGCGACAAATCCTGGTCAGCTCGCTATGTTCATCAGCTCTCTCAGTATTAATGGCTACGAATGTGAAGGATTCGGCTTCAAAATCATGAACTGCAAGTCTTTTATCCTCAAACCAAATACATCAAGGAAGATAGAAATCACGTAAGTAAAATTTAAACATTTCTAATGTAAACTTTAACTCGATCCAGTCTCCAAGACTGTAGCAAATGAACAAACTAGGTCATCTGATTGTTCCATGCTCGAAGACGTTCTTGCTTCGAATCTTCCTTAAAATAAACTCTGGGTATCGAAAAGGTTACAGGGGTGTTCGTGTTTAAGCAAAAAATCGGTAGACAGTGCTGGTCTAGATCTCCAGTTTGACTAGCTCTGTAAACTTTTCAGAACCAAATTTTAATTTGTTTCTTAAAGAAAGCAGCCTGTAGCATCAAGAAACAGAGTTGTAGAGAGGTACGGTATGTTTGCGGTGTAACTCTTACGAGGCAGCGGGCTAGCGAACGAACGAGTGAGAGAACGAAGGAACGCAGTTCTCTTGGACGGTTAAGGATTATGCGAGTCTTTTTGTGTGTAGACTGAGACTGTCGGTGTTTTCTGACGTCTTCTCTGTGTGTTGCTTTCAGGTTTACACCAGACTTTTCAATGTCTCGAGTAACTCGCAAACTAGAAGTGAAAACCACCCTCGGTCCTATAATGGAGTTCACGCTGGTAGCAACAATTCCCACGCACCTCCTTCCCCTGTGTTCCACGACTCTTGGCCGCAATTCCTGGGAGCCAGTCGTACAAGGAGTCGCTGTTGTACTCATGGGTGTGGTCTTCTTAGCTGTTGTTATTGCCGCTTACGCTGAGGCGCGCAGGCTCGTGTTCCTCTCGCATCCGGAGATGCAACTGCTACAAATGAAAGAAGAACGAGGGCCGATATTTGATTTGAATGCAATTGCTGGAGTCAAGAAACACAAGTGAGTGGAACGCTTATTTCTCTTTGAATTCGCTCGGAACGTTTTTTCACGCTTAGTTCATCAATTTTTTCTTGACAATACATGTATCATCGCATCGCCGAACAGATAGAAGTGATGAGTATAAAGAGGAAATCGTCAGCTTGGGGATATTGCCTTGATGTAACGTCAAATTCTCAAAACAAACATTAAAAGAAAGGTGTTAATGTTTTGAGCTTTGAACTTTACGATGGAGAAAGGCCACAAAATATAGCCCTTATTGTTGAAAAGTTAATGTATTCATCCATTACCAAGGGTTACGACAAGTCAGGAAATGGTTAGGGGAAAAAAAGTCTTCAAGGTCCGGGAATTTTATTCTGAGTCAGAGAAAATTGAAATTGTGGAAGGTCGAGATTTCTTACTGTGGGTTACGTCGAGAGCTAGCATTGTAAATCGAGGTCCCAAGTATTTGGATCTCGTGTTATGAATACAATCAAACGTCAGTCAGACGTTAATCTGTAAGACGTTAAACACAAGCTACCAGAGGAAAAAAAACACTTTTTTTTCTTATGTCTTGTCTGCAGAGTTCCTGTCAGAGAAGAACTAACAGTCGGACAAAAAAGAATCAGAAGAGAACCTCAGCGAGACAGCAGCAGTAGAGAAACAACCCCTGTAACACCTGACAGACCATCAAGCTGCGACACTGTGACAACGAGCTTAGCCAGTAATCTACCCACAAATAATAATATCAAAAATGTCACAGCCAACACCACGAGGCAAGATAACAACGGAACGCGAAATCGAAATGCAAGGACTGAAATGACAGTAAAAACCCTGTTGGGTGCGGCTGAAAGCACGGAACCTGGAGCTGCCAGGTCGTTAAGCCCTCCCAATGAAAGCAAAACGTGTTCAGGAGGAAAAGATAGCCACAGCAAATCTAGATGTACCGCAGAGAGTCGCGTAAAAAGCAGCTCAGATACAACTGGAAATACAACTCGGAAGATCACTGAACCAAAGAAAAACGAACAGAGAACACTTGAAGAGAGCAGAAAAACAGAAGAGAAGAATAAATCATTCCCAGAAGGTATCAACGATGAAATTATAAGTGTTGTCATTCCAAACAAGTGCGAGTCGGCTCCCAAAAGAGACTCTAAGGAATCCAAAGAACCGAAAGGAAAGCAGAAACGAAAAACCAAAGCCATCGGCAAGAGAGAAGAGAAAGACAAGAAAGTAAAGGCTAAAGAAACTACAACAGTGAAGGGTAAAGACGAAGAAGGAGGGTTGTCAGATGACAGCGGCAGTGATGGATCATCAGACAAATCCACACCAGAGGTTAGAATACAACAGCCTTCAAAGGAGACAAACAGGACAAGACAGTCGGGTAGTCTACCCACTGACACACAACATGTTCACCTCAGAGAACACCAGCAGCAACAGCAGCAGCACGGCAGTGTAGCCAAGCCTGTGAGTCATACCGCAGCTTCTGCCGAGTTAGGTGACACGTGCAAAGAAAGAGGGAAGGCTCGCAAGACCCATGCTACAGCGGACAATGGTAAGTCAAAGAAAGGGGAAGCACAAACGGTTAACGGAGCACCACGACCCAAGAACTTGGAGGTTCCAGCGAAAGGTCAGAACAGCGGACAGGTCAGCAAAAGTCAAAGCAGTGCCAGTAGTCCAGACAGTCTGAAACCAAGCGAATTCCGCCATCCTGGCGCAACATCTCCACATGCCATCGCCGCCGCTGTTATGTCACTAGCTCTGGGCAAGAACATGCAAGCGTCTTCAAAAGAGAACAACTTTGACGAGCAGGAGCTTAACAAGAGGAAGGCGTACACCAAGACCTCTGCCCTGTCGCCTGCGCTGTCTGATTCGCCACCTCCCACCTCTCCCACTATGTTGAGCGGCAGCAGCCGAAGCAGTAGCTACAGTAGCATTGTCAGCAGTGATAGTTCAAATGGCGTGGAGCAGGTGAAGCCACCAATGGTGAAGGGCAACAAGACTCGTGTCAAGAGCACTAAGTCAGCTCCCCTTGAGGGTGGGGCTGGTCCATCTTGGTCATCAGCAGGTAAGTCCATACCGCACTGTTACATTTTTAGAAGTAGTCTACGAATTATCATGAAAACACTGTCTAGGGGTTCTCTTTGGTGTCATTCATTCAACTTTCTTGCAGCCTAACTGACTGAACTTGTGGTATCGCCAGATAACTGCTACAGATAGTGACAGACCAGAGCTCAAACTGAGATTTTGACACTGATCTTGACAAGAAAAAAATAGTGATACCGACGTGAAGTTGATTAATGTCCATATTAGAAATGTTACCGATATCTAACAAGTCATAATGCGATCTCTGTATCACCATTGAGAGTTTGTTAGTTGGGCGACAAAACGTGTCAGTTGTTCGTGTGCGTTCGTTCATGATGTCACTGCGGCCATGTCGCTTCTGTTTCCCCATTCAATGAAATTTCTCTCCTTCTGGTAATGTTCTTTTCTTCTGCAAAATTTTCCTATTATTTGGGAACACCAGTATGGCGGCCATGAGAATTTTTTTTCCTTCATTAATGTTAACTTTTCTCAATCTTTTCTTAGGTTCTCGGAAGTCTATTAAAGCGGGTGATGACCTTGGCCTATCTAACCTGAGGCGAAACCCTTGGAACATGTCAGATTCTCCCAAATCACCGCGTAGCCCAGTTGGAGATCGACCTGTTGTACCCACTCAATATCGTCGTCCTCCTCCTCACAGACCTTCCTTGCCTGAGAATCAGCCGTTCCCCCGAGGTGGCTTGACGAAGCAAGGGTCTCAAGGCGAGCAAAAGTTTGGTTTATTTGACCTGAGTGATTATGGCCTTTCGGACAATGGTGCTTCACGGAACAGAGGCCACCCTCCTTTGTGGACCAGCAGCGACCAGTGCTATAACAACCCTGACAGTCTGTTTAGCTCTTCGTCTCGTTCTTCAGAGGAGCAGTTTCCTGGGAAGAGTGCCCGACATTCCAACAACTGGGTGAACTTCCTGGATGCCAGTAACACCAACAGTGGCGTGGTGTCCAATAACAAGACTATGGCCGAGATCTGGGACGTGGGTAACTCCCCTCTGGACAGTGATGGATGGTCCATATACTCACCTAGGCCAGTAGCTCCGGGTCAGGTTGTGAGTTCCGAGGCAGATGCTGTTGATGCCCTGTTCAGTCAGATACCAGACTGGTCTGGAGCAGGAGCTGTACCCGAGCCACCCCCGTTCAGCACCCAAGAGGTATCCTGGACACCACCACCTGACGTGTCCACAATCTGGGGCAGCGGATACCTTGGTGCAACCTCCACTGCAGAGTCCTTCCCCACTTCATCTGGGGCTTCTTTTGTCACCTACCCAGCACAGCCGCAACAGAACCAAGATTCATTGCCAACATTTGATCCTCTCCTCGGAAGCAGCATCTGGAATCCGTCTAGTGCGTCATCTACTTGGTCCCCCACCTCAGAATGAGTAAACGCCAACTACAGCAAGTCTCGTTTTCAACAATTCGGGGCTTTCATTTGACATTTTCCACTTGTTCTTAGTAAGTTTTTCTGTGGAAAAGCTTTCAAAAGGTGAACTCCAGGGTCATAATCCTGTCTCTTCTCATTAGCTTTGTTCCTTGCTTTGATATTTTCCTTACACTGACTAAAACATCCACAAGTTTCGTGTGTGTTTAATGTGGCCCCATTTCTGACCACTCGTCGATCGAAATGTTCCTGTAGAAATCGTGTAAACTGTGGATAAGTTACCGTTTAACTTCTTTGTTTCCTAGAGGCGGGATTATCCTTGGGAATCACCTTTAGGGAGGGACCATTAATTTTTTGAGGGGGGTGGGTAATTTTCTGGGGCATGAAATCTGTAGGTTGTGCGTGATTTTTTTGGGTGGGCAAAAGCTTGTGCAAGAATCTTTTTAAAGTCAAATACATGACCTAGATGGTAGAAAAAGACTTGGACGATTTTTTGTTCCAGCAGTTTTTGCTATGCATTAATTTTTTTTGAAATTGTTCAACCCGCCCTCCCACCCCCTCAAAAAAATAATGGTCCATCCCTTATATGCTAATTTTGGGAAGTCCTGGTATGGTTATAAAAAGGATCAAGTAGGACAAGACAAAGAGTAGCTGAGTAGCTTTTAAGAAAATTTGGTGGCGTTTCCTATTCAGGTGTTATGATATCGAGATGTTGGTAATTCGTGCCAGGACATGTTATTGATTTGTCAAGGTGATGGTTATTGGCTGTAAAAGTGGTTGGTGGCTTCACCACTTTGGGGTGCTTGTTAGGTTTTGAAGTGGGAACCACGTTTCTCTGTTGTTTGAAAAACGGATTTAGCATTTATGAAGATGCTACTGGCAGCCTTAGATTGTGTTCTAGGCCGGCGCGGCGAGTTGTAGTCGCGTGCATTAGCTTATAACTGGTGGATGCGAGGCAAAATGCTTGCTTGATTGTATCTCTTAAAAAGAATTAGAAAGATTTACTGCTTTACCTAGTCTACGCAAATTAAGCATCAACAAAACGCATTTTCATTTCAGAAGTCAGTCACACATGAAAATTTACTCCGAACTTTCCTAGAGTTAGCTTGGTTCGACGAGTATAATCCCCAGAGAACCCCTGTTAGTAGGTTGCTAATGCTGACAGCAGCTTTTACCAGCGTAACCCTAGTGCCAGGCGCTCCTCTTCTCTGCGGTACCGTGGCGAAGAGGAGACCTGGTACTAGGGTTTGTGACGGCGCGCTCATATGCCTGCCGCAGTCTTTGTTAGACCGCTGTTCCGTTATTTATAAGAAGACCCCGTTATTTATTGTTTTCCAGAAGTTTTGATATATAAAAGAGTAACTAAAAGTGAGTGCAAAGTGAGTTATTTGGGTGCTTTTTATGCTGACACCATTTTGTACTGTAGAGGATTTTATAAGAATTGTTGCTAAATAAAGTTTTGTAAAATCAAAGGTCAATAACTAGTTTGTCTGTTTTTTTCTTGCGAATTTTCACTTCTTGGTCACAACATCAGACAGAACCTGGTTGCATTGTGGGAATACGATAGCATAGAAATGTTGCTGATTTTGCGTTTAAATTGTCTTGCAGAACTTACATTTGTCAATACGGGGTGTAACCAGCATTGTTTTTGTTGTTTTTCATTGCATTCTGCGTAATATGAGAGATCAGTTTTAATCATCACTGGGTCACTAATAAAATTTTTGAAGAACCTTTGTTTCTCAAGGAGTGCCATGATGATCGATCTTACACTTGTTATATGTGTACAGAAAGAAAGTGCAGCAATTGTCTAGTAAAGACAATTACCGTTGATTACCGTGCAGAAATATAGTTTAAGAACAGATGTACGCGGGCAGCTTGCTCCCGAAAATTACCATAGCAAACAGAAACCTATTGATTGTTATGAGAAATGATTGGTTCTAAATGCTTTCTCGCTGAGCAGGATCAGGTGTATTTCTTCACTTGTTTGTTTGCTTTCATCTTCTTAATATTAAACTTTTAACATTCCACAGAAAAAAGTTAACTTTCGATAATGAGAAAATTTTTTAGCTTTAAATTAAAGTATTAAGAAAACACAAGCAAGAAGAAAACTGTCAAGAACAACGGGCTGATAATACCGAAAGATCTTGCATGTACCTTCTCGTCTTGCAGTGCCACGCCAAGATTAAGATGACAAATGCATGAAAGCAATGACCAAAACAACCAACGTTAACCTTCATGCTTCAAAACATCAAGACCTGTTTCTTCAGGCGAAAAGTGACAACTTGACCGTTTCTGACTGTTTCGCGAAAAGAGCGAAGTGAAAGCGCGTCACAGTCACCTGACGTAACACGCGCGACGGACATGCAGCGATAATGAAGCCCGGTTCTCATTAGCGACGTAAGCATAAGCATGGACAAAACACTGACCCGAGTCCATGGACTACCCTAATGGATTACCCAAATAGACTACCCCGGAAAAAAAACTGTTGACAATGTGTGCTATTAACGTTATAAGCTGCAAGTATGCTTAAATTACACGAAACGTCCGCATATGATTATCCAGAGCAGGCTCTAGCCATCATTATGAATATTGTACTAGTATTTTGTGTTCAGTGGTTCCAGAACAAAAATAGGCGAGGTATAGCAGCTTGAAACTAAAAAATGGTACTCATTTGGAATATTATTTTTAAGGGTAGTCCATTTAGGTAGTCCATTAGGGTAGCTCATGGACCAAGGGGTCAGTGTTTTATCCATCACCAGGATGATTAACAAAAGATGATTGCCGTTTTCTTCGTAGTTACGCTGATGCCCGTTACGTTTGTGCCGATGACACGACATTCACTTTATCTTCTCTTTTTGCATTACAGGGAAACTAGTTATTTCACGGCAGCGAGGTACTGGAAAAGGTGGTGAAAATATCTTTTAGGTTTTTAGCAGGGCCTTTCAAATGAGATGAGAAGGCTTCTTTTGGATTTGAAATTAAAGGTTTGAGAAATTTTCCGGTGACCAAATTTTGGGGGCAAAGATCTCAGGAATTTTTTTAGGGTCAGCCAAAAAGCACACCTAGGTATGTGAAAGGGTACTCTATGGAAAGTACACTGAAAGACTCACCTTTTATGTCGAAAACGTTATACAAAAAAGTAAGGCCCAGTTCAGACGCCGAACTTTTCATGAGCCGAACTTAGTTCGAATTTGGACCGACCCAAATTATCAAAAGCACACCTGTTGATTCAGGACGTCGAACTTAATTCGCCGAACTTTATTTAGTTTAAACCAAAACACATCGAAATATCAGCGATTTTCAGGCAAAGTAAAAACTGCTTGTAAAATACGTTGTAATAAGTTATGCATTAGGTTCGGCTCATGAAAAGTTCGACGTCTGAATCAAAGGCGTTCCAAAGCCGAAATTCCCGGCTGAGCTAGGCGGGAAGAACGGCTGGGCCGTTCCAAATTCAAATAGCCGTTCTTAACTGATTCAGACGCCGNAACTTTTCATGTACTTAATTCAATATATTTGGTTCGGCTCATGAAAAGTTCGGCGTCTGAACTGGGCCTAAGGGTTTGTACCCCCCTGGCTGAAACTTTGTTTAGTGTCTCTCCCCCTCTTCCCTCCCCCCTCCCGGGAGAATTCATCCCTGCTTTACAACTCCGCTGTAGCCAGGTCTAATGTGACCCGCGATCGCAGTTCGTCGGCAGGAAAATGACGCTCCAGGGGCAAACGAGGGGGAAACGATTCCTGGTAGCCTGCGTGACAGGCCGTAGAAGGAGAAGGAAAGCGTCAAAATGAGCGCGGGGACTAGATTCCTGGATGTTTTCTAGACACTTCGCCTATTTCATTTCAATTCAACTAGTGTAGAGTGTAGCCCAAGTCGGACGTCGTCCAACAGTTTTCAAAAATAGAGCTGGGAAAAGAGATCTTTCAACTGATGACATTTTAGATTAATGTTGGTTTTGTCATGGCCTAAATTAAGAAAAGGAAAACTTTTTCGGAATTTGAGAAAGTAGAAAAAAAAATGTGGAGAGCCCGGGCATCGATCCCGGTACCTCTCGCATGCTAAGCGAGCGCTCTACCATTTGAGCTAGCCCCCCTTCCGCGATGTTATGAGAATTTTTTATAGATCTTAAACAACAGGCCGCTAGCTTTTAATGACGTCATGATCAAATAATATTTTGCGCATGATCGCAGAGCACAAACAACTTTTCAAACATGGCTGCCATCCTAACTTGTCTCTTTAAATCTTTTCAATGGATCCCCGTCTTATTTATCAACGCAGTAATTGTGTGGTCATACTACGCTTACGTATTAATTCTTTGTTTTGGTAAGAGCCAGAATTTGTACTTTTTTCGTCATCCTAAGCCTCAAATTGGTGATTCCTTAAGCATGAAGTTCTGCATTGTGCATTCGATCATTATAAACTCAAATTCGCTCTCTTCCGGTTTAATCGCTTTCTTTCTATCTTAGTTAACCTACTTTGTTCCTTTCGCTTTCAGAGAGCGTGCAGTCTCCTTATGAAAGAGGTAAGTCACTTGATCTTCATGTCTCGTCTGTTTATGTTATATTATATTGGTCAACATTTGCGGCAGCGAATACAAATGTAAGCAGCTGATTGAAGTTAACTTAACTTACCGTTTGATACGTGAGCTAACATTAAGCAAGGTTGTGTTTTGACTTGACGTCTGGAAACTCACGTGTTAAAAGTTTTATCACAATTAATGTGGATCCCTTGTGGTTTCTTTCAGTTGTGTATTTGCTTTTGTATCACCCGTTCTTTGTGATGTTGATGATTTCGTACTGGAGAACAATTTGCGCGTCATCTGGTCTTGTTCCTTCGCAGGTTTGGCTGTCAATATGTCAACTTACAAGTTTCTGTGGTATTCTTTAGAAAAGAACATTACACATTTCTTTATAACTTTACTTAAACGCTGCATTTTGTTAAAAAAAATTAAAGATGCATATAAAGGATTTGTTATACAGTCCTGTGTCGTTTCTGCATGATTCCACTTGAAGCTTTAATAGCACTATCTTTAAGTAAATGATAGAGATTAGGCCATGTCATTTTCAGACAACTGAAAATGACATGGCCTAATCAAAACGTTAAGTACATATATCTAGTCAGCACAAAGTGCGGGGGGTAAAGCAAACCAGAACAAATGAGAATTACTGTTGACACTCAAGTGATAACTGTCTTAATAATTATCGTCAGGACCACACTTTTTCTAGCAAAAAAGGCTGTCTAATAGCTTTAACTAAGGCCATCAATAAAGACCTTCAGATTAAAACAGAGTGACTCCATCTTTGTACCTTGATGCACTGCTGTTAGTGTATTTTAAAGTCATGTGTTAAGGGATCAACCATACACATTTGGTTGGATGGTTTTTGTCACACTCTAATGGGGAAAAGCCCTTTTTGGTCCAAACTATATATGCATTTAATTTATCTGAACTGAAGTGAAATGTTTGGTGTGCAAATCACATACATGTGTATGTAACATTCTTCCTCCTCCGAGTACATCTACGTAAAGCTGTTCTTTTAGTTATGTACTTTGTTTTGTTTGTTGTTTTTTATCATTTGCAGTTCTTCTTGTCCAGAGCAGACAGAGAGGCATTAGATAATGGGGTATGTGACTAAGTATTAAATTCACTTGTACCTTTACAGACATATTGAATACAAAAATTATTTTGATGGCTTAACTTTGTGTCTGACAGTGTTACAACAAAAAGTAGAATCAACAGCACCATAAATTATAGGGGAGAGGGTAGGGAGGTGGTAACAAAACACAATTTTTTATCCTGAAAAGGGTACAATAAGCATTGATCACTATCACTCCTGTAAAGGAAGTTCCCCACCAGTGCCATTCGCTGGCAAATTTGGTTAAATACTTATTAATGTATAATTATATAATTCCTCCTGTACGAAACTTTATCCCTTTATTTTGTATTTTTTTTTTCTTTTCCAGTTATGGTACCATACCCCAATTAAGCAGAGCATAGTAAATTATGATAAATACATACCATCCTGTACTTTACTGCAATAATTATGTCTTATTTTCTGTTGGATTTGTTTGCAGGATCCCAAAGAAATTTTGGAAAAAGTATCAAGAAAACTGCCTGTTTTTACACAAACTGTATCAGGGGGTAAGAAAACTATTCTATTGTACAGTACATATGGCTGGCAAGGAAGTGGCTAGCAAGTAAAATAAGTGAACGTTTTGCTTTTTCTTTTTTTTTTTTGCCTAATGCAATTACACAGGATGCCAGGTTAATTTTCAAAAGTTTGGTTGTGTATATTTTTCCTTATTATGCCCACATAATTATCACAAATGAGCTTTCCAATATAAATCAGTCAGGCCACCTGCCACATGTGTGGATCCATACTGGTTTTAGCTGAAACTCAGAAATTGTAATATTCTAATTTGAGTGTGCCCAGTTAGCGTCTGTGCTCCACAGGTGTTAGATCCTTTAGACACTGAAATAAAGTTGTTATTATTATTATAATTATAAACCAAGGAAAGAGGACTTAAGTTTAGAGAGTTAACATCCAAAACATTTCCTGGGGGAGCATAGCGGCCCAGACCCCTAAAAAAGCTTGCACCTTAATTTGGTGCTCATTGTTTCAGAAATCAGTCACCATTTATCCTAGATCCATGCACGCCTGTGACATAAACCAACGTACATTCACACTTAGGGAAATTGTCCCAGTATTAAAGATGTCTGCTAAACATATCTTGTTTAACTGAACTGTATACTTGATTAAGTTGTTGGTCAATAACAAAATTGGAATAATTTTTTAGCTGCAAGATATTGTGATATATGTCAAGCTATCAAGCCAGATAGATGCCATCACTGCTCCATGTGTAGAAAGTAAGTTGAAAAACATACAACAGTGGACCATTGGCAAAAGAGTAAATATTATGTACAGCAATTTACAATTAAACAGATTTCCAGCTTGTGTATTTGTCGATACATATCCTGTATATTTTGTTGTTATTACATAATATCATTTTTTCTGTAATTTGAATTTTCTATATGGGTGTTAAATTTTGTGAGGATTTTTATTCGTGGGTCTTTAATTTCGTGATTTATTTACAATCACGAAAATCATGAAATTAAAGACCTGCAAAATTAAGTACCAATAAGGTAGAGAAATTTGGGTTGGGTTTGTATTTTTCTAATAAGATCAACTTTAAGGTCAATCTTTTAATAGCCATCGTTTCCCTGATGATGCCATAGAACAGTGAAAGCTTGGAATGAAAATACAGCACAGTAGCTCAAGGCCGCAATTGAATCAATGTATTTATCCAAATAATTACAGTATTATTTTTACTTCTTTAGTGAATTGGTACGTCATATAACATAGTCTATGGGTATAATGTCTGACATGAATTAATAATAAATACATGCATGCAGGTATTAATGATATTTTTGATGTGTTTTTTGTCCTCCCAGGTGTATATTAAAAATGGATCATCATTGTCCGTGGGTCAATAACTGTGTGGGATTCACAAACTACAAGTTCTTTCTTCTGTTCCTGTTCTATGCTATACTTTATACACTCTATGTCACAGGAACAGTTACCAAGTATTTTATTGCATTTTGGAATGTAAGTGAAGACTGAACTACTCTGAAACATTATTCCTCCAAAGTTGTTTTGTTAATTTTTCTCTAATACAGTATTGTATTTATAAAATTAAATAAATGTCATTTGGGATTAAAATTGTTGTTTAAATAAATAAATTACAATATTTGGAGAGGAAGCTGGTTTTCATGTAGGTCCTCTGTCCTGGTCAATTTGTTTTTGATATGGCTTCATAGCTCAGTTGGTAGAGCATCGCACCGGTATCGCGGAGGTCATGGGTTCGAATCCCGTTGAAGCCCTGATTTTTTTTTCAGGCTTCTTC